TTGTGCATTCTGGCTGATAGCTGATCATTTTATGAGTTCGATGCAGTGGCAGCAAATCTTCTGTATTGCTTGCTTGACTTTGGCTGCTTTTTTCGCGACCATAGCTCCAGATCTTTGTCCGAAGATGTCATCGTTCTCGACTCCGCATCTCCAAGACCGAGACCATCGCATACTTGTGCCACTCTATGACCGCCTCTGAGATGGGTAACCCAAAGCTTTGTTCGGCTGTGGAAATTTTTTCTGACGCACAATGAGCCGAGCAATCAATGACGGTCAGTCTCAGCTGAAGCCTTTTACATTTGTGACCCTTCCAATCTATGTGCCTTCCTGACATCCAGCCCACCAAGCGAAGGCGCACGTAAGATGAAATCTACTCTCCTCAACACAGGTCTGTCGTTTGACGCCGGTAAGTCTCAATGCTTTCATTCTGATATATTCTCTTGGCCTGAACCTGCTAACTGTGGAGTTTGCGCAGACATCTTATGCGAGCATCTCGCCATGTCGCGAACGACTCTCCACTGTCCCCGCAATGCCCCAGTGCGGCGGACTCCTCGCAAGACAACACAGCGAACCCCATGTTTGGCTTGCTTTCCGAACGAAGCCCGGCTTCCACACTCCCTTCGAAGGCTGCCGCGCAGCATACGAAATCATCCGGCGGTACATTGAGGATACAAGGCGAAGTGGCTGCTGCACGGAGGATGAGGTGAGATCAAGCTTTCTGGCTGAGCAGGGATCCGAAGCGCTGACTTCTCAGTCAGGTGATCTCCAGTAAGCTGTCAGATCGTTGGACACGACAACTTGCACTACTCTGCCACAGCAGCAGAACCGAGTCTCAGCTGTTCCTCTGATGGTATCTCTGCCCAGTGGAGCTGGAAGGCTGCTGATCATTGTTGCAGCTTTTGGCACGTGACCTTCAGTTCTGGTGCGTATTTACTACCTTGTCTTCTGTTTTTGCACTGGTGGTTTCAATCGAGTCCGGTGAGTCTTATCACTTGTACCATGAAGGAAATACAGTACTGACATATTTCTATGTCCAAAAAATTTCGCAAGACTGTCCTGAAGCGGCATCCCGAACGCATGGAAGGTACGTCTCAGATTCCTCCATTTTGAGCCATCTCTACAACAGACAACACCATCGACGATGATGATTCTCGTAGTCCGCACAGAAGAAACACGAGGTGGCCTTTAATGAAACGAACAAAGATTTGCATGGCACCGCGCGACTGCAGCTTCTGAGTCAATTCTCTTCTACCCGTCGCAAGCGCTTCTCTTGTAAATGACCGGCCCAGCTGACAGCAAAAGCAAGCACACCGGTTTCCGGATTTTGAGCGGTTGTCTCTTGGTATGTACTTTCTTTTAGCCTCCCATTCCATCTTCAAGCCATGATGAACATTGCGACCCGCGCGCACAAGTAAGTCCGGGACCCGAAGATTACCTGGCAGCCAACCGCGCGAGATCTGCAGGATCTGAGCTTCTTTCTCGCAGCTTTTCGTTTTGTCTCGCATGTTGACGATGTCGCTGACCACACGAGTAGATAAGATCAGCCGGAAGACTCAGTATCAAAGTAAATCGCTCTTCATTTGCTCGTTCACAGCGAATCCGTATCACTGATGATCTCGCACTTCGCGCGCACGAACAAGTCCAAGAAGCTCTCTTGTGGCAGCCAGCCGTGGAAAGGCAGTGTCTGAATCGCCCATCATTCTCTTCTCAGTATCTGCTTGGCAATCTCCAGCCGATGTCGCTAACATCAACAACATATGCATCCCGCCTGGAAAGACGAGGCTCGTAGTAAGTACTTTTCAATTGACTCTTCCCAGTCGTCAAACCTATGATGAATCCGCATTGCGGCGCAGAAGTAAGTCCGAGACCCGAAGATTACCTGGCAGCCAGCCGCCGGATTGCAGTGCCTGAGCCACTCGTCAGTTCCCATCTGCGTCGATTTTCGCCATGCCAGGTTCAGCACCGCTAACAACAACAACAATAAAAACAGATACATATGTGCCCGTGGTGCAAGCTCACTACAAGGTAGGTTTTTTCCCATTACGTTTTGCATTGTACTCGACTTGATGATAAGTCCAGCAGCCCGCGCGCAGATGTGAGTCTTGCATTCAGTAAGTCCACAGGCAGCTAGCCGCCCCGGTTGCAGCCTCTGGGTCCATCACTCATAGGCTTCTGTGCTGATGCGGCATCTGCTGTAAAAACTTCCGCTGACTGAGTGAGCAGATGCATCACGGCTCAGAGACGTACACTAAGGTGAGAGCTCATCAATGCTCCTGCTGAACACCTCGCACCATCACGGCAATGACGATATTCACAGCCCCACAAGGGACTGAGTTCTCAACTGCGTTCATTCGTACCTCGCAGCTCTGAGAAAATCCTGAGCCATAGGCTTGCTCCGTTTCTTGGTCCGTTGCTCATAAGCTGTCAAAGCCGCTAACGACTTCGGCAGACGTGTTCAGTCTGCAGCATGTCCGCAAAGGCGAACGGACAGCAGCTTTAGGCCTTTGCGATGACCGTGGAATTATGGTACGTGATCCATCCTTACCTTCAAAGTTTTACCGCTTCCAGACGATGATGATTCTTGCAAGCCCAGCGCAGGAATAAGTCCTTGGAATACAGAGACAGGCAGCCAACCGCTGGGCACTGCAGCATCCTGAGTCTGAATCAACCGCTGGTTCTCCCCTCACAATCTCTTAAGAGTATCGCTAACGTGACGTGCAGCTTAGCATAGGTAATCCTTTTGGAACAGCGCCCTTCAGGCTTGAGTCTTTCTTTGGTTCACGTCTCAAAGATTTTCACGATGATCAGTCTTGTCGCTTGCAAGAGCAAGTCGCAGTCAATGACCGAGTTTGCTGCTGATGCGCCCCACAACTTTGACATTCCCTCTCAAGCGAACTGCTCAATGGGTACAACCCTTCGATTCTGATGGCCGAAGTTGGTAGACTGTAAGGTATGTTTGTACTCTCTTCTATTGCTGAGGTTTTTCACTGAACCCACAACTATTGACAATGATGATGTCCGCACGCCTGAGCACAGAAAGAGTGGGTACCGGGGGCAGATTCACTGTTCAGGGAACGTGAGACCGGGCGCCAGGGTGCAGCATTCTGAGTCAACCAGCTGCACAAGCACTTCGATCTGCCGTCATCTTTACATTCGAAAACACGTAGATCTTCTACTGACACAACAACTAGATCAAGACCGGCCGAATTGCCACATTGACAAGATCTATGAGTAAGTGATCCCAGTCGTCTCAATCTCGTTACATATGTGAGCAAGATCTAGACGATGATGATCCTCGCACCCAAGGCGCAGAAGTAAGACCTAGTGACAATAGCTCAGGCTCAAAGCCTTCTTGTGCAGTATCGGGCAGCCAACCGCCAAGGTGCGGCTTTCTGAGTCTCCCCCACCGGAGCCCTTTCATCTGATCAGTATTTCGAAAAGTTCTGGGCTGATTGATAGCTAGGCTATTGCTCCTACCGTTCAAGAGCAGTGTCAAGGTACGTGCATGCATTTCCATCATCATGATTTCCCGGCTTTGATCCTGCGACGACGATCAACTTCGCACCCTCCGCATCAGCTTTCCATCCTGTGCAGGTGCGACACAAAGGATTAAGGACGAGGGTGCAGCGTCTGAATCTCTGAAGATCCGTCATCCATTCTGGATCTCCCACCTGACCGATCTGACGCTGACCGGTGTGAAGATTCCAGATGTGCAAGCGTGCCACAAGAGGACCAAGGAAGGTGCGTAAGCTCTCTCGCATCCTTGAACCATTCTTTGACGATGATGATTTTCGCATGCTCCGCACCCCAAGATCCCAGTTGCGTAAAGTGTTCTTTTCTGTACCTGTTCGCGGAGGTGCAGTCTCTGAGTTACTACCGGCCACCGAAGTTCCGTTGCACTTAACTGCTCTGGGACACGCTGACGAATGTAAGTCCGACAGATCCAAAAGACCGCATGTCTTGAGAAGATAGTTGAAACGTAAGAATCATTCCCTCTCTCACTCCGGCTCTCGGTCTTACTGTGCTGACCGACAAGATCATCACAGAAATGGCGCTTCCAGCTTTCAAGAGATGTTTGAAAGGTATGTGCTCCCCTCTTCATCCTCGGCCCTCTTGGTGGAAATTCTTTGACGATGATGATCCCCGCTTCCTGAGCGCAGAAGTAAGTCGGAACAATTTTGGCTCGAGCTCTTGAGCTCGAGAGTGTAGTATCTGCCGCAGCCAGCCGCCAGGGAGCAGCTTTCTGAGTCAATCGGAAGGATCAACCCTCAGCTCTTCGCAAGTTGTCTGTTGGAGCGAATTTGCTGACATCGATGAGGATCTTCTTTCCGCGGGTTCAGTCGATGGCGCAGCTGCCATAATGAAGGACTGCGGACAACCCGGAAACCGCTCCTGCTTTCGCTCACCGCCTTACTGCCGCTGACTGGCTGAAATGAAACTGTTCAGGTATGGATCATCCTGACGCTGCACCAAACATTGAGACCTCATGATGGCTAAACGGAGTACTCTGCAGACCACCGAGCCTATCCTTTTTCCTTCGACCCTCCTCTTCTTCCACCGAGCCTTCGTCCTCCCTCCCTTCACCTTCATCTAATTTACAACGAATGAAAACAGCGCGGCGGTGGCAATTGGCGGAGGTGGAAGGCGCTGGATGGACACACATACTGGACAAGGGGGTGTACAGGAAGGTCTGCATCAGCATGCTCAAAGCAGCTGAGTGAACGGTGGTCTGCGATATCGCGCATCGTTTGCCCGCCATGCATTGTAGACTTCCGCTGCCAGGGTACGGCCTCAGAGGCCAGTGCCGCTTTTGGACGGCAGCTGGACAGTTTTCTGTTCTGCAACAGTGCATTCCGACAAAGCCGCTTCTGTCTGCCACGTTGATGCACTGTGATGGGCATCTGAGGTCGTAGCTCAATGATACAGAAGGAATTCCCAACAGCGCCGTAATTTTGTAGTGAGCTAGTAGTCAATCCCGTAGCGACTAACTAGATAGCAGAATGACAAGTGTGCCCCTCTTAGGCCTCCGGACCCTTGCAACTGTGACCTCCGCCGCTGCGACGAGGAGCGCGACACGTAAGGTGAGTCCACTCTCATTGCAGCCGATGTCACTTGAGGACGAGATGCTGACTTGCCACTGCCAGTTAAATCTTCCCTCTGCAACATCAACGTAGGCGCTGACTTCCTCCAGCAGCAACAATCACGTTTGCCTGTTTGAGTAGTGTACACCACATTCCTAGGTGAGTGCAGCCATTGCTTTTCATGGTTTTCACTCGGTGGCTTTCATCGTACGCATCGACTTTAGATAGTGTTAGACTACCAACGCACATGGCCACCGAGGGCAATTCCCGTTACCGCACGTTACGCAGTACGCTCACATCTGATGCAGGACAGTTTCCCTTCCGGAAACCGGAATGTGCTCAGTCGTTCCCGTTCCAGCCGACGGCGCCTCCTCTTCCTGTCTCCGCTTTAGATGCTCGGGTTCTTGCTTCAATCGCAGGCGCCGTCGGCTGGTCTTGTCAACCAAGCAACCGAAGAGATCGGGTGCTGGCCTTGGTGGCCCCCGTCCACTGGCTTGTCAAGCCGCGCCGCGCCATCACCATGACACTGAGGAACACGCCAACAATCGCGACAACCGCATCGATCTTAGGCGGATTCAAGCTGGCGAGGATGTGCGCACCACGGTAAGCATGGCCTGACAGAACGTCCGCTTTGCATGCCCTGACTGCTTCTTAGATCATGCTACGCAATATTTCGACCAAGATGCGCCATGTGAGTTTCTAAGACACATCCAGTGCTTAATCACTTATTGACTCCCACAGGACGAGCTCAAGGGCTTACTGGATGAAAAGGTACGCGGTCTCTACGACTTCATGTACCTTCGAATGGACTTCGATAATAGCTGCGACGGTGGCTACGCGTCCATCAGCTTCGTGCGCTTTGAGGACATCGTCACGTTCTTCAACGCCTCTCTGCCCTGACTGAAGAAACTGTGGCTCCGTGCGCCGCCTATGAGCCAGATCCGTACATGAGGAGCTGTGCCTCTGAGGTACGTTATCATCTACTCACTCGATCCAAGCTGGAACCCCAGATCCAAATGTCTTGCTGACCCTCCTTTGACGTAGATCGCCTTGCGTATGTCGCCTTCCACAGATCAGGATCTTTGCAGAAGCAGACTTGGTGTCATGTACTGGGAAGCCCGATCTTGTGGGCTGTATTTCTGAGATGTTTGGGTCTTGATTTCTCATCAACAGATTGTAGTGTAGTGTGTGCAAATGGAAACGCGGTGCCTCTTTGAGAAGTCAGGCCTTCGGACCTGCGAATGCCACGTCTGAAAGTTTCAAGATGAATTTGCTCCCAAGCAGAACAATTACGCCACTGCTGATGTTTAAAATCTCTTCGACCTAACACCTTCGCTGGCAGAATGAGGTGACCGTGATTTAAGAAATCCAGACAACATCAATGTTTCCGTGGCCGAAAATCCCAATCTCCGTCCGAGCACGTGGATGAGACGAAAGCTGCGACTGGCAGCCATCCAGTCTCAGCTTTGATCTTGTCAGTACTGCCTTGAGAAATCTCAAGGGCACGGCCTGCCAGCCAATAATTATGCCGACCGCCCACAGCTTCCTCCTTCCTACTGGCTTTCTCAAATCGACGGTTATTATCACTTGAGACGTGAGTACAGGCACAACACCATGTAAATCGTCGTCGTTCCAATTCTTCTGCAAGGGCTTGATTAAGTGCTGACAGTTTCGAGTTCTGCTGACATTGCTTCCAAGTCCACGATTGTAGCAGCCTCCAAGCCTTCGCCGTCAAGATCTCCCTCGCGCTTCATCCCCATCGATCGTAATCAGAGAACTGTCCACGTTCGATTCGCAATTCTCCTCTGGGAGCTCCCCCAGACGAGTAGACACCCTACTCTGATCTGATCTACTTGTTCACATCATGAGTACCTCAGCTGAGCTCAATGCAATGGCTGCAGCTTCGACCCGCGGCACGCTTAGACTTTCGTCATAGAACTTTAGCCATGGACCAGCAATTCTTAAAAACGGAGCGCCACAATATCAGCGGTTTAATTGCCTGCACCATGGCAGGAACAGCCGGCGTGAGCTCACCGATCCCAGATGCAGTGATTGTGGGTGAGTCTTTGCCAACCCTTTGTTCTTCATCACCGTGTGCAATGATGAAAACCAATGTATCGTAATCTATCGTTGAATGCTAGAGCAAGATCAGTCGTGTTGTGAAGGGCAACCTAATCTACGCCGCTGGTTTCTGCTCGGCTATGACGAAGAACATCTTCTCTCTGAGCGCACACTTCTTCAAAAGTCTCTTTTCTTGGGATAGAACAGATGGGCTGTACCCAGCACCTAAAGCAGTACAGCTAACTCGATTTCACTGGCACGAAGAGGAACGGACGATCTCTGATGGCAGCATCGCAACCTGTGGCAATGACACCTGATGCGTCGGACCTGCGTTAAACTCTCCGCACTTGCTACTTACGGCCGCATTTCACAGACGTCGCGCGTTCGATCAACGGCCGGAAGAAAAAGCACGATGGCGAGTAGATCTGGGAGGTACGGAGCGCAAGGACGGACTGTATGTTGCCTCCAATACCCCGTGGTTCGCGATTTAGAATATTGACCAACGATGACCATCCTCAGTCCGCCACATGAGCTCGCCTCAAGATGCCAGCTCAATCAGCGTAAATCATCACGACCGCATAAATTCCAGTTCGACAACGAAACTCCCGGCGGCATATTCTCTCCTCAAGATTCCATCAATGACGCCATGCCCTCCGTGTTCAGCCATCACAGTTTCTAACATAGTGTTGGAAAGCTTCTCAGAGGCTGATGGGTTTTGCTACACCGGACAGTTCTCCACAAGGAGAAATAACAACGAAGCGAAGAAGATGTCGAGGAAGCTCCCAGGCGAGCTGCCGCCGCTGCGAGAGATCATACAGACAAGAACGAAAAGAGAACTCGCATATCTCATCTCGTCAAGCCGGTGTCCGATTGGGGTTCGAAGCTGAGGATCCCCACAGGCCTTATCATGACTTTTACTTCCTCTAAACGACCAAGTTTGACCAACTTTCCGGCCTCTGGTGGCGGCAATGCTTTGAGCGAACCATCTGTTCTGGACGGACCACCTGCTCGATTACTTCATGCTGATGGGCTCAGCAAACCGCCTACAATATACATCCATCCCTCCCGCGTACCTCAGTCTTGACAACAGCTCGGAAAGGCGCTTGATGCGCGCGCGGATCTTTACGAAAAACTTCGAGACAGGCCCTCGGTCGTCCGAAACCCGCACCCCACCGTCGTATGCGCCGACTGGTGAGGTCGCACAGTCTTCCACCACATCATGGGCACGACTTCCTCAAAGAACAAACACGCCCGCAAGCACAACCGCTTTGATACCCGGATCGCGAAGCTCTCCGAGGCCTGGCGCGCCGATGCCATAGCATAGAGCTGCCAGTTTCGAGGTATATTCCCACAGGCAAGGCAAGGCTTGATCCAGCTGACAAGATGCTGTTAGGTGCGAAAAACTCTCGAGCCTCGAACCTATCCACCTCAAGAGCCTCCTCGGCCCCATCCCCACGACTCCCAGCCGCCGCTCCAGCTCGAGCTCAGCGAAAGCTCCAGCCGGAGTGACGACTGGAAGTTGTGGAGGTGGGACCGTAGGATCTCGTGAGGTGGACTTTCTTGGGCTCGGTGTGGGTTGGTAGCAGGAGGTGTTGCTGGCGCACGGGATGGAGATATCTGTATTGGTCAAGCGCAGGATTGGAGAGGGTTGTTCGTCAGAACATAGTTCGCAGTTTCTGTGATGAGGATGTCGATCGGGCGAAGTTTTCAACGATGCCACCATCTTCTGAACAGTTATAAAATATTAAACTCTCCGGTTTGTAGTTGGAGATCTGATTCTCAACTTGACTCAGAATTATCACTCTGCGCTTTCCGAGTCGAGGAGAACGCGCATGTCGTGGAGCGGCCACAGAAAGGGACAGCAGGCAGCAAAACGCTGATGTCATCTGACTTCTCTCCATCTCCATGCGCATTGCAGAGCTCTCACTGTCAAAATTTCCCACCACAGCCTTCTCAGAAATCAAGTCTGACGACAACAACACAGCCATAACACACTCTCCCATTCCATCAGCGGCCACCTCCTCACCACCATCATCCCCAATAATACAAAGTTTGGTCCCTCACGATGTTGCCTCTCAAGAGACCCAGCAGGTGGACAATACCAGCTCCCAAGATCTACGACACGCTTTACGAGACCATCCGCACTGCCCCCAACCGACCACCCTAGCTTCTTTCGAGAAGCGCACCAGCCTATACAAAGGTCTTTGGGAACTGGTTATGGCGGCTCCGTCAAGGTCAGAAAACCGTACCGTTTTAAATTCGCGGAGGAGAGATGCTGATTTGCCTCGCTGTGTCTAGATCTCACCTCGAGACCATACCATACTCCCGGCGGCGTCGGCCATCCTCTTAGAATCGATAGGTAAGGTCAGACACTGGCTCGGGGTGAAAGAACCTGGCTGACGATGCTAGATGGAAGACCGCTTCATACACTTGCTGGAGGCTCGAGAGACCAGATGAGCCTGGGGAATAGCTAAAACCAGGAGGTTTCGGAAGATGGTCGATTGCAGCGACGCCCTCACAAGCGAAGGAGAGGGAGAGTATCGGTGGCCGGTACGATTATTTAGCGCTCTCGGGAAGATTCAAGTAATGCTCCTTTAGTCAGAGCATCTTTGGTCCCGACGCACTTGATGTGAGATATCAACCAGTGCGCTCATCTGATGTCTTGCAGTGGACTAAGAAAGTTTTTGAAAGCCGTACTGAAAGCCTCAGCCGCTGCTAGCCTTACAAGCGGGCTGGGACGGGGGCGCTGCAAGGGATACCGTTTCGCCACGGCTTCATGCAAGGGGTGGAAACCCTCAACAACAGTGACTGAACGCCGTGTTCCAATGCCCAATATCCCATTGACGTGCCCTAGAGCTTCACCTCGAGCCGCCAGCACTGCGGCCAGCTGCCCGCATGTGCATTGAGCTATTGTGGCCGCGGGGGCGCACGTCACGCTGCGCCTGGTGAAGCGGTCTCTGCAGCCTGCGTGCATGCCGCTTAGTCTGCTCCGAGGGTTTAAAAGCCCCTCCCTCTGCCACAACTCCAAACTTTCTTTTTCCACCACCACCCTTGGATATCTTTAGATACGCCTGCAAAAGGGTGGTGTGGGGGTGCTGAGATGATGCTCGAAAGCCTTTAGTGTATGGAACACTAGCCAGAGGTGGTTATCCAAAGGTGAGTCCAAGATCTTGACCATCATGAGATGTCTCTTTCAAAAGAGATCTTTGCAGCACCATTCCTTCCTCTCTTTCAACATCCATATCAGCTCCTAGAAGTAGCTAACCACTACGGCAGGTCATTAACACTTAGCGTTCAAGCACTAGCTGCTCACAGTTATGGTCTTCGAGGCGCGAAGTAAGTCCATTCTCAACTGCCTCCGCAAGATCTTCATGCTCCACGAGCCGTACCACGAAGGATTTAATCCTCGGTACTCCGACAAGCACAACCACACCTCAAATAGCTGACTACTGCTGCAGGACGAACTTCTTGCGCACCACCATGTCCGGCAATGCCGGAGTTCTCCTCCTGAGCAGGTAAGATCACCGTCCAAGCCCTCCATGCTCCGTATTGCAGAAGATCTGACTACTATTGCAGGACCACAAAGGCGCTGTCGACGGTCAAGATCTTGCCTTGATTCCTCTCTCCCAACTCGAGTCTCACAGCTCCGATCCACCACACTCCCAACCTCTTACAACCTCTCTTTCTCGATTCCGCAGCCGTGTCATGGTTATGACCACACCCGGTAAGCTACTTCAATCGGTGGTCCAATCAGAGCGGTTTCTACCGCGATTCATATTCAAGTTGAGCTCCTGCTGACAGTCTTCTCTCAGTGAGATAAGGTGATTGCCGTAACCAGC